GGAACGTGGGAAAGTCAATTGAGTCACTTGTGGGATGCCCTCCAAATGACGGCATGTAGGAGGAAACAGGAAGGACTCCGTGAAAAAAGTGGAGGCAATTAGCACAAACCTGTATATTAGGTAAAAGAATGGCCCACAAAGTTGGAACAAGTCTATGACTCTTATCCTTAGGAGAGGTGGGGAGGGGACAGATGGGAGGGAAGGTGAGAAGAGAGGAGCAGTGGGAAGAGGAGAAGAAGGGAGAGGAGAGGAGAGGAAGGGAGGAGGAGAAGAGGGGAGAGGAGAGGTGGAGGGGATGGGGGGGGGGGGAGGGGAGGGGGGGGGGGGGGGAGAAGAAAGGGGAGGGGAGGGAGAGGGGAAAGGAGAGGGGAAGGGAGGCTGTAGTGATAAGAATTGGATTTTTATCAGATTTTCTTCCCCAACCCCAACTCACATCATGGCCACGTTGCTACCATCAATAATGACCATCCGCAAATTCTTCTTCCCTGGTGTGTTGGCCAACTTGAGCTTGAATTCAGTCTGGAGAGCCTCCTCAAAGCGCTGAGCTCCAGTTACCGTAGAAACGGAAGCCTGGTGAAGAGCTTCCATGCTGGTGCTTTTGGTTAACTGGGTCACCTCAGAATCCAATAGAGAGGACAAAAAATTAGCAGTGGGAGAAACTCCAGGATTACTTGCTGGGACATAGACATCCTTGTGATTCGAAAGGACACCATTCCACCTTTCTTCCGGATGAGCCTTCTGCTGAAAAGATTCCCCGTGATTCAAAATGGTTGCCCTCTGGGCACCAAACTGGCCTCCATGTTCTGGCTTCGTTGATGATCCCTCTGTCGCACTCTCATCTTCATCTTGGTGTTCCCCTTTCTCGTTGAGCTGCCTCAGGAGACTTGCCAATGGGGCTCCTGTTTGTATTTCTGTGGGGATCTTGCTGGGACAATGGCCACAGTTGACCACTGCCGTTTTGATCAGTTCCTTGACATAACTGTTTTCATCGTATGGGTCCTCCAGAGACAAAGCGTCGAGACCTTGTCGTTCAGGCTCTTCCTGAGGTGGGGAGGTATCTTCGTTTTGAGGCAAGCCTGCTGCCATCATCTGGACTCTATCCAAGATAGTTGAAGGGGCTTCCTGAACTCCACCCTCCAATAGTATCTTTTTGACCACGTGCTCTTCGTAGCCCATCGTTTTAAAGAAGTTTAGCCTCATTTTGAACTCTTTTTCAGTCCACGATGACAGCAAAATGTCAGATGTTGCCTCCTCCTCAGTGGTTTCCTCAGGCAAACTAACGAGACTCGATTCTGTTGCCCAAAGGGGATTCTTCTCTACCGTTTGATGATCCTCCAAGTTTTCTGTCAGGACTTTGTATCCAGATAGAATCTGAGAGGTAGCTGGAATTGGTTTAGAGGAACTCTTGGGAAGCCCAGAATTCTTAGTGGTCATGGCCTCAAGCCAATGCTGAGGACCATTCAAGCCAGGCAGATGTCCCTGTGGCTTAGTGTGCAATTGGGCTTCATCAGAACTTCTGGAAAAATCATCCCATGGGACATGAAGATGTTTTTGGTCTTGAGATTTTGCATCCACAGTAGGTGAGTTAGTCCTAACATCCCAAGGCCTAGCTGGGTATGGTAGTTGCATCGAATCTGCAGCTTTCTGAAGAGATTCTTGTGGCCTGGTAAATTCCACAGGCCAGTCAGGACCGGAATCTCTAGTTCTATTCTGTTCCTGGACTTGATGGAGCTTTTCAGGTATGCCGAAGACAGGTTGAGGCCTATCTTGCGACCCAGATCTACCACTATTCACAGCGTTGGCTTCCCACCCCAGTGAACAATCTCTCCCGAAACTAAACAGTGTCCTATAGCCATTCCTTTGTCCTTCCTTGTCTTCTTCCTGAATCTCCTTGACCAAACAAAGCAATTCCTCTTTGACCGAAGTGGGCAAGATCAAAAGATCCATGGCATGTTTGTCATCATAGTTCTCCACCAGTTCCCGGAAGGACCGTTTAACCTGAGCCTCCCGTTCTTCTGGTAGCTTAGGGTTCTTCTGGTGTTTCCCCACAAATTCTTGGATCCGGCTGTGAGCCATGACAAAAGCTTCTGCCAACCCTGAGATCAGCAGAGTGCCCGGGCGTAGAAAGGTGAGGCTCGCAGATGTCCCTCGAATGAGGCAGTCCAGAAATAACCCATGGGCACCTAAGAAGATGCACTGCATCTCTTTAGGATACTCTACTTCCACCTGAAGCTCTGGGGCGCAAAGACCTTTGATGTATTCCTGGAAAACACAAGAAGGTGCAATATGGTCATTCTATATGTGTCTGAAACAGAATATTTTTAGACAGAAAATTACATCTGAAGAGAACTTTTTCCAACACTACAAAAAAGAAAAAGAAAAATCCATTTCTGGAAAGAGCCAATTTATTCATAACCTGATATAATATGGATTACTGTGGGCCTACAATATGGATTACTGTGGGCCAGTTCTGTATTTTGAGTTCATAAGCACATGTATATACAATGTAATGTATTATTTCTTGGGTTTGCTAAAAAATGGCATAGTCATAGCTCACAGCACCACTATTTTTCTTCTGCTTTGAGTAATGCAGTTAAATAAATCATAGTTATGATATATGTGTGTGTATATTTATGTGTGTGTGTGTATATATATATACACAAACACACAAACACACACATATAGATTTAACATAACTCTGGAGGTGGCTGCTAGATTAATAACTCTAACCCTAATCCATTCTATGCTTCCACTCATTCATCTTTTTAAACAAATCATATTGATGTATTTTCTTTGTTTTCTTTAGTTGTTTTACTGTTCTATTTTACTTTTGCTTAATTTAAGCTTCCTTTTTATATCTTCCTTTTTTATGGGTCTGAGACAGAGTAAGATAACCAGCAAATAAAATGTAGTAGTAGTAACAACTACAACAGTTTCTGAGCCAAGCTTTGAATCTATTCATGTGTATTGTTTCAACTACTTCAAATAAGCAATATTCACTTAAAATATTTTTGGAAAACTAAGGAAAACATAAAACAACACTGAAACACTCCCTGTACTGTGCAAGTGATCCAAGGAATCCTTGCATAAGCCATTTTTTTGTCCACACTGGACTGCACAGAATTACAAAGTACAGTGTTATGTAAATAAGGAACTGCTTCTGTTTATACAGAAAAAATAAGCAAATGGTGTAATTAAGGAAATACAGTAAATCAAATTTAGTGCATTAGAAATTCTTCTATTTTTTTTCCAGAAAACTCACCCATTTTGTACCCATTTCCTGAAGTAAAAAAATAAAATGAAATTAAACTAAAATTGTTCAATCTGAAGACAGAAGCATTTGGTGAAGCAGATTAGAATCTATGCTAAATTTTGAGACAATTCTCGCCTGCTTGACCAAGGAGCAAATTTCTTGGAATTAAATTAGATTTATTTCTAAAAAGGCCAGTATAAGATGCCCTGTTAAGTTGGATAATTAATCCACCTTGGGCTTTCACATTAAACATTTTCTCCCCAAAGTTGGAGGAAAATACACCAATCAGTATTGTCCCAAAAGTTCTTTTCAAAAGGCAACTTTCTTCGGTTTGTTTGTTTTTCTATGAAAATGTTTCGCTTCTCATCTAAGAAGCTTCATCAGTTCTAACTGAATGGTGGGGAATGGAAGGATTTATATTCTTTGCAGTCACCTGATCATTAGCACTAACTCATGTTTACTGTTTAGCTCTGTTACAGAGCTAAACTTAAGTCAAATCTCCTCAAGTCAACCTTCCATTCATCATTGTGAGAAGCCACCCCCTGCTAGAAGAATGAAATATTTTGAGAAATATTTAAAAAAGCAAGATAAAATATTTCCCCTAAAAGAGAAATAAAAAATCTTAAGGGAACAGAAACTCAGAGCCCCAGCTCCCTGCCGGCAGCAGATACATTGTGCCCATTGAGAAGGACTGAGCCAGCCTATCTACAAAACAAAAGACCTTCAGCTCCAGGATGATGGGATTAAGACATGACCCGTTAGGGCATAAATAGTATTAACCCACTACCATCTAGCAGCAGAGCTCACTACATTGCACAATCTCCTAAGAACATTGCATCACCCTCAATTAAACATAGCTCTGACAACCTATAAAGTCAGCTATGACCTCCTACAACAGTAGGAGTTCAACAATACATGTTCTTGCACAGGAACAGGAAGCTCAAACACAGAGCCCAGAGAGGGTATAAAAGCCACCCACTCTCAATTCCATGTGGTCAGCTGCCCAAAATCACATGTGGTTCTGTTTCATTATTAAACCATCATTCCAATCAGCCTCCCAGTGTCTTTTTCCTGGCTTGGCATAGAACCAAATGGAAATTTCTTCTAATATAATGACTTCAAGGCTAAAATCACACCATTTTCTTGGTAAAGCAGCTTTTCCAACATCCCAACTTAGTTTACAGAGCCAGATTATCAACAATTACCCAAGTATTTCCAACTTCAGATTCAGATGACCACTGTTAGTTAGATGACAGAAGTTAGGAAACAAAACTGCCAAGCAAGGCCTTGAAAAATTGCTGTTAATCAGACTGAGTAATTTTCTTCTCATGAAATAACATTAGCCTGCATTTAGTGATGGTGGCCTGGAGACTTTGTTTCCCAATGGCAAACAAGAGAAAACTAGGATAAATTGTTTTATAGGAATTTGTAATCTCACGATCAGGGTTGTTTATTGCAACTTATTAATTGTGATTAATTTTGATTAATTTTACTAATTAATATGTATCAATGTTATGAGGGAAAAGCACTGTTGTCATGAAATTATCATTAGAGAAGATTATTACTATGATTATGACGAATATTACTCCAAACAATGCAACCAAGCAACTCACTGTATATATGGACTTTGAACACATTGCTTTCTTTTTATTTATATATTAAATAAATATTATATTTATTTATATATTTTATTTATATATTGATAAAAAATTATTTTTTTATAAAAAAGGAATTAAACTGGATCGAGGATCAGAGTTTGCCTGACCTTTGCCCTGTGAAGATTCTCTTGGCTTCCTTGCAACTGCAACCAGATCTTCCTTGCTCCTTTGGGGTCTGATCCCAGTACCCCCATGACATTCAGCTCCACCTGAAAGAGGTGCTCAATCTGAGGACGGTGCTGCATCAACATCTCCTGGGCCTCCTCGGCCACCGCAAATTCGTCCAGGATCCTGTTGTTCGGCATGACGGAAGCTTGTGTCTGCCAGATGTTGAGGGCCCAAGATGCTACGTAGCTAATAAGCTGCGAGGAAGAGAAAGCAAGTTGATTAAAAGGGACGTGGGTGAGAGATGAAAGTGAAGTGAGAACAAGGGAGCAAAAGGACACAGGATGAGGCTGCTAAAAGCTTTCCGTCTCCTTAGTATCCATGAAACATCAATCTGCCTATCTCGCAAACTTGGGAAGGACTCAGTAGGTTGATAAAAGTGCCACATCCAGTCCAAACATCCAGCTGAATGTGCAAAGCAGCCTGATAGTGTTTGATTCTCACCAGGTCAAAGTTGATTCAGCTTCCATCCTTCTGAAGTTGGTAAAATAAGGGCCCAGATTGTTGAAGGCAATATGCTGGCTCTGTAAACCGCTTAGAGGGGGCTGTAAAGCACTATATAAATCTGAGTGGTATTGTTATTCAAGGTCACATGACTTAAAAAAGAAAAGAGGAGGGCTTAAGAGTGGAGGAAGTGGCAATATTCAGAACAGCAGACCAGCTGCCCCCCTCCCTTAAGGATGCATTCAGTTCTTATTCTCTCTATTTCCAACTGGATTGGGAAAACTCCAGCTTCTGCATTGATAAGGGGCTCATGCAACATAAAGCTGCACTTATCATCAAAATCAGCCCTGGGGAGTTAAAAAAAATCTGCCAATAGTACTGACTTGCAACTCTTATCTGTATACAATAGCAAAGGACATGCAAATGAGAAAAGAAAATTAGGGATCTTTCCCACATGCATAGTTTAAATGCTTAATTTCACCCAAATTAGGTGTGTCCAATCTATGGCCTGTGGGTCACATGTGACCCTGGACAGCTAGCAAATACAGCCCCACAATAATTTTAAAATTATGTTATTTGTATACATTAATTATTTTAGATATTTTACATGCAGCCTAAGACAAGCAAAGAAGTTGGGCACCCATGTTCTAAATGTTTAGCTTAAAGAAATAAGTTTCGATTACCGAAGCCTATATAATGCTGACCTCATCCTCCAGGAAGAGGGAGGGAAAAAGAAAAGCTTGACTTCAAAGACAAATACAATAATTATATTATGCAGGTAGTAATCAACTTACAACCATTCATTTAGTGACCATTCAAAATTACAATGGAACTGAAAAAAAGTGACTTATGACCATTTTTCACCTTTACGACCACTGTAGCATCCCCATGATCCTGTGATCAAAATTCAAGTGCTTGGCAGCTGGTCGGAACAGAAAATAATGATTTGTAGAATTGAAATTGGATGGTATTTATGAAAATACAATGGAGTTTTGTGGAAAATTGGTTGTATAAAAATAGCAAAACATGAGGTTTTATGTTGTAAATATAAATGAATATACTGGATATGTTAATAGTACAAATTTAGCAATGTATGATAAATAGAAGGTTATTTGTTTTAAGTTATAGTATGTATGGCAAAGAAAATGCCAGAAAGGTCACACTCTGTCCAATATTTTAATATGTATTCAACAAAATGTATTTTTTTAAAAATTCAGATGCTTAGCAGCTGGTTCATATTTATGACCGTCGCTGTGTCCCAAGGTCCTGTGATCACCTTTTGAGACCTTCTGACAAGCAAAGTCAATGGGGAAACCAGACTGACATCACAATCAGGTTACTAATTGATCAACTGCGGTGAATCACTTAACAACTATGGCAAGAAAGGTGGTAAAATGGAGCAAATGTCTCACCTAACAAATGTCCCACTTAGCAACAGAAATTTTAGGATCCACCATGTTCATACATCGAGGACTATCTTTATAATATAGCGATGGCAAAGCAAGGAAAAGATTATGGTCATAAAAGCGTTGACAGGGTCACTGTGAAATAATCCTTAAAGCATAGAATCAGATTGAATGGCCCCGCCGGGAGAGTTTGGGCCAATCGTTTCCACTCGTGTCAACCTCTCTCACGGGCTTCTTTTGTAAGGTTTACATTTCGGTATATTTGTCAGATTTATAATCCTGCCTTCCCTCAGGGAGATCAAAAGGGAAGGCAGACTCCACGCCACAGTGCTGCGAGTGTCAAAGTTTAAACGATCAAACGATCAGTGGATTATAAAAGGAAAGCAAACGTAAACACCAAAGGCCAACTTCGATTCATATAATAACGTAGTATAACAAGAGTCGGAAGGGACCTTGGAGGTCTGCTAGTCCAATTCGTGGCGGCAGAAGGATCCACCCAGGAGAGTTTCCTTTCGTACACTGGATTGGGGATCCACCCAGAAGTTGGGGTGGATGGAATCCCGATCAACTGGAACCTTAAAAGGCCAGGAAATGCAAAAACACGCCACTTTCATGCCAGGGGATTTCTCACTATTTTCATACTGCTTCTCCAAGCGAAAGGAGAAACAAAACAAAACAAAAGTTGACTGGGTGTTACGGAAAGTTTAGAACATAAATCTCCTTAGAACAAAAAGCCGCCAGCCCGAAAACAGGGATCTCTCATCCGAGACGGGACCAGAGTCATAAAAGCAAAAGATTCAGAAAAGAAACGAAGGGAGGGGACGGGGAACGACAACCAGAGGGATCCTTCACAGTCACGATCTCTTCTTGGGCAAACTAGCCTCGGCTAACGATTTATTTATTTATTTATTTATTTGATTTGCCAATTGTTTACAAGATAATAAGTAACGATGTGGCACCCACACACTTTGCGCTGAAGGAGGCAGAGGGAGCATTTGCCTCTCTGTCCCGACGATCTGGCCGAAGAGTCAGCCGCCCCCAAAACTTACCCCCATCCAGTTCTCCTTTCCTCCTCGAGATCCCAACCCTGCGCCTTCCCCGAGTTCCACCACGAGCCCAGTGGGCAATTGGAGATCCTGCCCCTGTCGCCGCCCCGATGAACTGGTGGGCGAGGGGACAGGGACTGTCCAAACCCCCCTCCCCTGCCTCCAGCCCAGTACGACCCTCCCCTTTCCCCCGAAAGGAGGGAGGAAGTGAAGCCCCGAAAGAAAACGTGCTTCCCGATCTGTGCGTTCCGCCGTGCGCCTTACCTGCTGGAGTCTCCCAGGGAACCCCCACACCGCCGAGAACCACCACTCCATCCGTTCCCATCGCTGAGTCTTCTTCCGGGCTGGGCTTTCGGGGGTGTGTGTGGGGAGAGGAGGACGAGGGAGTGCTCTTTCCTCTGCCCTGATCCCTCCCGCGAGAGACCACCATTCCCCCTCCCCCCAAAAAACTCAGCAAACTTGGCGCTCAAGTGTCAGCTTCCATCTTAGTGCCAAGCGGAAGCGCCCGACTGCTTGTGCAGAGCTGGAGTTTCCCAACTGGGCGGCGCGTCTCAAGGGGAAAAGGAGGTGGGGGTTCCTGTGCCGCGGTAACTTCCTGCCCTGGCGAAGAACAAGAGGTTTCTGAGCATAGGCAGAGTGACGCTTCTTTCTCTCCCTTCGTTCCCGCCCCTTCCCCCCCTCCCCTTACCCTCCCTTTTGCAAAGGTGCCTGGGTTTCTCTGAGCCCAATGCATAGGGCAAAACGTTATTATAACTCATTAAATAAATTATTTGATCGCCCAAATTATCTGTCTGTCTGTGTCTGTCTGTCTTTCTATCTAATCGATCTACCTATCCATCCATCATTTGTTTATCTATCATCTATCTTTCTATCTATCTAATCTACCTACCTATCAGTCATCTATCTACCCTATTTATTATCTTACATCATCTATTATCTATCTACCCACCCACCCATCCACCTAATCGAATCGAATCTACCTACCCATCATCTATTATTTATATTCTTTCTTTCTTTCTTTCTTTCTTTCTATCATCTATCTATCTATCTATCTATCTATCTATCTATCTATCTATCTATCTATCTATCTATCTATCTATCTATCTAATCTACCTACCCATCATCTATTATCTATATCCCATCCATCCTATCATCTATCTATCTATCTATCTATCTATCTATCTATCTATCTATCTATCTATCTATCTATCTATCTATCTATCTATCTATCTATCTATCTATCTATCTATCTATTATCTATATCCTATCTATCTATCCATCCATCCATATCTATTATCTACCCACTCATCCAATTCATCCATCCATCTATTCTCCTATATCTATCTACATCTGTCCATCCATCCTCTATCCCTATGTTCCTTCCTCCCCCCCCCCCCCCCCCCTCCCCCCCCCTCCCTCCCTTCCTCACCCTGTGCTTTCTCCTCTCTTTGCAAAGGTGCATGGTTATTCTCAGCGCCCATGCATCTAGTTGGGTTTATGCAATCACACAATGTCGTGACCAGGATTAGTTGGTGCAGTCGCCCAATGTGCAAATGTTGATTTTAAAGGCTTTTGGGAGGTGTGTGTGTGCCTGCATTGGGGTGTCTGTGTGAGTTATCACATTCGTCCCTATCAATCCTTTCAGATTGCTTGTGCTTCAAGGAATCTGCAACTCAGGGCAAAGGGTGAATCGAGTAACTAAAAACTGGGTAAACAAAGTCTGTAAGTAGAAGGAACATTTTGTGTGCATAGGATTAGGACACCCTCAACCTGAATGTGTGATTATACAGTATTGTGTATGTGTAGGTAATTCTTGTTTTGTTGTCTCTCTGCAAATGAATAGCAATAGCACTTAAACCTATATACCACTTCACAGTGCTTTTACAGCCCTCCCTAAGCAGTTTACAGAGTCAGCATATTGCCCCCCAAAATTTGGGTCCTCATTTTACCAGAGGTTGAAGGATGGAAGGCTGAGTCAACCTTGAGTCTGGTGAGATTAGAACTGCCAAACTGCCGCCAGACAGTGATCAGCAAA